GAGCATGCCACTGTTGTACAGAGCTGTCCGCTTTTGCCCTTGTGACCTTCTGATCAGCTCTGACGAGTCCGACCATTCTTCTCTGACCATATTCATTAACCAGAATTTTTTTTACCACAAAAATTCCATTGACTGCTGGTTTTGTTTCTCCAGCACTTCATGCTCTAAACACCGTAGTGTTTGAAAATTCCAGGAGTGTGACTCTCTGAGATGCTGTACCAATGGTTGTCTAAACAATCACATAGATCATGCATATTGTGCATTTTAAAACTTTGTTGATCTGTAACTGAACCTCTTGAGCCTGCCTGTGTGCTACATACCATACTGTGCACAAGTGTTAGGCAAGCAACGAAAATAATGTTTAAATGATATTCATCTTGGTGTAAAACCATGCCTGTCACAAAGTTTGTCAGATTAGCAATTCTGATTCAAAAACCTGATTCAAAAACTGATTGATTGATTGATTGAGCTGGTAGTGACATTTAATGAATACACGGAATCGTCGGGGTGCCCCCGAGGAGAGGTTTGGGAACTGAAGTGGTGATTTTCAAGCCATCAAATAAGATATCAGTGACTTTTTGGAAAAAAAAAAAAAACCCTGGTAACCTTTAATGGGCCAACTGTTAACTTGCATTTGTTCTTTGACTGCTTAAAACTCTTGCTCAGTGCTGTATATTCAACTAGAGCTGCACATTTTGCAGTTTGGAGGAACAGGCTGTTTTTGTTAACAAGCAGGAATAAAAGGCTCATAAAGAGTATATAAATACTTAAATGTATAAATAACTGTCATTCAAAGTAAGTGTTTCTTTGTTCGTTTCTTCACTATAAATAATAAGTGAAAATCTTTCCAAGTGTTTCAATTCTGTAGAAGTTCTGTATTTTTAGTGTTCAACTTCCTTGTTTAATTTGAGCCCTATCAAGGTCTCCCCAAGCAAGCTCGATGAGCCGAATGGCCTCCTCTCGTTTGTATAGTTCTTATGTTCTTATGTTCATCACACCACTGTATCCTGGAATTTACAATGAATCTCTTAAGAATAAAAACTGCCACATGTCACCAGAACCTTGCACATCTAGGTGAAAATTCCAAGTTTTAACTATAAGAGGCACGATCCAATCAAACAGCTTAATAAGAGTAGCCACTTGAAGCACCTTTCTAGCAGTGTTCCCATTGTGACACAGTCTGCAACAGAACACAATCTAGAGAATTTACTTGTGAAAATAGATTGATAAAGATAAAGATGATCTTTATTGTCATTGTCACTTGAACAACGAAATTGAAAATGAATCTGTCCTGTGGAAAATGCATGTTTACATTTTGTCAGGAGCCTGTTTGAATATCGTTGAAACAAACATAAGTCATGTGATCTGGGCATCTGGGGAAGGAACAGGGGCTTTATGTGGGGACGAGTTCCATGAAAGCAGTGAGTACGAACAAAACTGAAAAACAGCCACTTCTACATCAGAACGTGGGGAAGGGATAGCGATATTGGCAAAACAACATCAGATAACGAAAGCGGTACCACTTGGGGCTGGGTGGGGAATTGGGGTGAGGGAGAGTGCAGGGGTCTTGGAGAAAACAGAGGTCCTTTTTGCATAAGAATTGAGATCATGAAACAGGAAAATTGAATGAGTGGCCTCATCACCCGACTTCATCTTCTCCCCAAGACCATCCAGATTCTGAACTATCAATACTCTTGTCCCCAGTGATTTAGATTTTACATGAACCCTGCCTTCCATCTGCAGTTTGCCACTTTATTGTCACTCTTGCTTATACTCATTATTTATCATTATTCATCTTATTAATGAACTAATTAAATGATTGATTGATTGATTGATTATTTACTCCATACTACCAATCTGTTCTGCTGCTTCTATCATTGACTAATCTACACATTCCATCATTGTTCACTTTTATATTGTGTGTCAATATCTCACCCCCCCCCCTCCACTTTTCCTGTCTATCTATGCACTTTTTGTATTCATGTCGTACTATGGTCTGGGGGAACATTATTTTATGGCACCATATGCTGTGTACTGAATATGGTTGGTGTGACAATAAGGCCCCTTGACTTCACTTCACTATCCTCCACTCCTGGACAGCAGTGTTGGTACCACCACTGAAGATCATGGGCTCAGCCACTAGATTTGACAGCCATTCCCATCTCATACCCATCAGCTTCAGAGATATTATGGTAGAACAGGCGATGTTACTAACTACCTCACTATAGGTAAGAAGGTTATTCATATATGAAAAAGAACTAAACCAACACCGGCATATGAACATGGTTCTTCCAACACTGTCAGTTTAGCTGTATATAACAGAACTATACACAGCTACATCATTATGGATCCTAATGGCAACTGTCTCTTGTGATGACTGTAAACATGATTGAATTAAAGAAAAGATAGACGGCATATCTGACTGAAGTAAAGACAACATTGGAGAGTATACAAATATGATTTTGAAAACCATGACATGTGAAGACAACGCGTCAGGTTATTTTTAGGTTTGTAATATTTCAACAGACAGCAGTCATTTTACAGGGCTGATTATTACAATGGCTGTATAACAGCCATGCCGCTCTATGGCTGTACTTTTGATGGAAAAACTGTATTCAGTTGACAGAGGCTATAGATACCTGTATATGTACACCTTTACTGCAAAGTGCATAGAGAATCCAATCTTCACAATGAAGAGACTCAACACTTTTGCCAATAAAAGGCTGTTTTGGACTCAAACGTGTCCTAGTCAAATAACCAAAACTAAGATAGGGTAGCTAAAGTTAGCCATCCATTTAATCCAGTAAATCGGGGTCTTCACAGTGCTTCTCCAGGACTAATGCTGGTTGTGATTGTGGTCCTCCCCAGGTCCCCAAGATGTCATCGGTCACGTTTTCAGGCTTCAGATTCCTGGGTCTGTCTGTTTCATGTCCGTGTGAATCACTGATCCTGGGAATCTGTGTGCGCCCCACAATCATATCCGTACCTATCATTGAGGTCAAGTTCTAAGTATTTTGTCTGTAACTCCAGTAACCAGTCACGACTCCCAACTAACAGAACGACGGCTTCCAATGGCTGAAAATCGGCCTGATGTGTTCCAGGCTTTGCCCTCCATTGCAGACCTCTATCTCTATCGTTCTCTGCACAGGCATCCTGATAGGCTCATTGGTTGCCCCCCCGCGGGGAATGTGGTGATCTTCAGCCATTCATATTTCCACTTCATTTGTAAAGTTAGGGCTACAGCACACTGCAGGCACTGGACTGGCATCATGCTGTTTATATTACTGCGTTCCTCTAAGCCTGGCAGTATGAGGAAGCAAGGGCAATGAACCCATCACAAGATAGACCTCTTTTTGTCACTCCTTTCTCTCTGTTCTGCATCCCTATTGGCGGGGCTGAAAATTAACTTCACCTCCTCATACCTGAGGCGAGTGATTTAGACAAAGGGCGAGTAGAAAAAGCAGAACATTACCCCACTGGTTAGTTAAAAATTGCATGTCTACATTTTTTTATTGAACAAGCCCAGCTGGCTCGTAGTAAAATACATTATGTTCTACACCTTCCCTATTGGTATCTTCAAAAGTACCACTGGGAGAGCACCTTAAAGTGCAATGTTCTGATTGTATTTGTGGTGAGAGTGACCTTTTTTCATGCCAGGAGAACAAAAGGGGATGTCCCACAGTGTCAAAATAAGAGATGGATGTTTTGCTTGGTCAGTGAGAAAGAGTATCTGAGTTCCCCAAATATCACTAGTGAGGAAGTTAAGGTGAAAATGTTAAATCCTAATAACAAATAATTGCATATGCAGTAAAAGGTCACATTGGATATTCATTTTATTTAACGTCGCCATATCACTGATTGTGTACTGATTGTGGTTGGTGTGACAACCTAACCTTACTTGACTCATTGAATACAAGTCCCGCTGTAACAGTGAACTAAATGACTGACACATTGTACACATTGTACTCAGACACTCACACTGTAATAGGCTGACTGTCTCTTTTTGTGTGTTGTTCTTATTTCTCTAATTTATTACTTTAACTTATGCTGCTAAACCGAGACGCTAAACTGTTTTTCACTGTTTCTGTAATAGTGACAATAAAGATCTATCTTATCTTATCTAAATAAACAATGGATGGATGGATGATTTTGGACCGTTGGGGGGGAAACTGGATTACCCGGAGGACGGGGAGAACTCCACACATGGAGCCAGGGTGAAGACTCGAACCCTGGTTCTAGAGGTGTGAGGCAATGGTGCTCACCATCATGACACCTCTACCTCACTTATTGTCATGATTCTTTTCAGTCAAATTTTGAAATTCTGGAATACATTCTAAATATGATACAGAATAACAAGTATTACAAGTATAGCAAAGTCTTCCATGTCTTTTACAGCACTTCACCAATGCATAAATGCGTTGCGTACATCGGTAGATATGATCTTGATGATGTGTAACACAGAAAGACAAGTGTTGACGATCATCTTGTTTGCTGACCTTTAAAAACAAACAGGGAAAAAACATGGTACACCCACTTAAAACTCATTTCATAACTTAGCTTCCAGCAATCACACTTTAGCATAGAGATGGTATATTTTGTATGTGTCAAGAAGTGTTTACAGAAATCACCTTTGTGTTCACTGAGAAGCGATGTTTCTGTGCTTTGCTTTCATGTTTCCAATGTAGGATATTGTTCCTCAGCATTTTTAGAATAAATGTAACCTTTTGAAGCAGTTCTCTTTCTCATCACACTGTAAACGAGTTGTTGTGCGATTGGTTAAGTGCGATGCTTGCAGATTAGCTTCCATTAGCTTGTGAGGCTGCTTAACAGCAAACCCCCCCCCCCGCGTTCTTTTTCCAACCACTAATGTGGAGAATAGAAACATCACCGCATATTACACAGCCCACATGAAAAGGAAAAACCCTACAGCCTCTTTATCTACTTATGTCTCTATAACAGTACACTACAAGGTACACTAAGGTAAGACACTCTCCTGTTATTGCCACATCATTGCACTTTTTGCCGGTCAGAGATACACTCAGGGAATCACTGCAGGCCAGTCAGAAGCTCTGGGTGTCGGTGTCATATTTCTACGTATCGCCATGTGTCAGTGCTGTTTGCATACAGAGTCTCTTCATATTTAGAAAGTTTCAGATCCCTTGGGGAAGTAATCCAGCAGAGAAGAGTCAGGAGGTGATGTGATTTTACAGAAGGAAAACAGCTCTGTGTAGATTTGTGTATCGGTAAAATTGATATGCAGAACAGTTTTCTAATCATCCTGTGAGATTCTCCGGGAAACGGTTGTTGCTATTTCAGCCTATGAGGTTTAGCTATGGTGTACCAGGCTGATTGAGAAAAGTGACAGTGATCTTTAGAAGCTGAGCCGCTGCGTGACGGCCGGGGGGGAGGCGGGGGGATGGTGGTGCTCACCGAGGGTCACGGGTCTGTGTTCTGCTGGCCCCCACAGACCATGTGCCGGCAACAGCAGCATCCGCACTTCTCCTTGCTGCTGACCTGGTGCAGCCTGCTGACGGTGGCTGTGGTGGCCGTGGCTGCTGCCTTGATGATATCGACGATACGACAGCAGGAGCAGGTAAGCGCCACGAGGCTGGCTATGAAGGGCAAGCTCCGCTGCGGGGCTACCTGAAATGACTTAGAATTAGCTAGCTGAAATGACTTAGAATTAGGTACCTGAAATGACTTAGAATTAGCTACCTGAAATGACTTAGAATTAGCTACAGGAAATGACTTAGAATTAGCAACGTGAAATGACTTAGAATTAGCTACCTGAAATGACTTAGAATTAGGTACCTGAAATGACTTAGAATTAGCTACCTGAAATGACTGCATTGTATATTCTATATAGAAATCTCTATTATTATTATTATTAGCACTGTTGCCTCACATCATCTCTGGGACCAGGGTTTGAGTCTCCGCCATTCTCCATGTGTGTTGCATTTGCATGTTCTCCCCCTGTTGTGGTGGGGTTTCCTCCAGGTACTCTGCCCCCCCCCCCTCCCCCCCAAGTCTGAAAACATGCTGAGGTTAATCGGAGTGAATAGTGTGTGACTGTGCCCTGTGATGGGTTGGCCCCTCATCCTGGGTTGTTCCCTGCCTTGCGCCCATAGCCTCCAGACCAACCACAACCCAGAACAGGATAAGCAGTTACAGATGATGGATGGATTATTAATAATTATCTACGTTTTTTGTTGTTATCATTGTTACTGAAAAATATACTCTGTTTCATTGCATTAAACTGCACTACCAGTGTATGACACCTATTTGTTAGTTCATTTGTGGTTACTTGCAGTTGCAGTTACTTGCAGTTGCAGTTACTTGCAGTTAACCTTGAGCTCATCCATTCTCATTCTCAGAATGCATCAAAGGTACCTGGGATGCAAGAGAGGCATCAGGGTAGGTTCTGAATACGTCTCAGTCAACAGCACGTGGCTGTTTAGCGCTAAAAAGAAACATAAAGCTATATGTTAAAAAACATAAATGTAAATGATGTTATTTGAATATGAGGCTAACAAAGAGCCTATCATTGATGGAGCACACTGGCCTCAGACTGGTTATAATTGACAAGGACACTGGCAATGAAAGAAGCTTCTTTTTAATTTGTAAGATTTTTAAATTATTAGAATAGAAACAAGTAAACGGCCTTTTCTCTTTTACAGCTGATGCAGTGATTGCACCAACTGGCGCAACAAGCACATCAAGTACTGCAAAGAATGCACCAACTACCGCGACAAGTATGTGAGATTGTTTCTCTAAGCTAGAATGGAAGTCTATGAACAACATTAAAGAGAGCAGATGCAAATGGACTACAGGGTGTACAGAAGGGAAAAGAGCGCGAATTCTGACCGTTTGTTTTTCCCAAAATGGCCAATGGGTACATTTTAATTTCAAAATGACTGCTGAATGCATCATGGTTTGCTACATTTCAGTAAGGAGGGACTGATCTGGTAGATAATAATCAGGTATTTGGGGGTGGGGGTGGGGTGGGGGTAATCATGTCTCTATTAGTGTGTAGGATTATGTGCCAGTCAGGAAGGATGGAGCTGAAACTCTGCAGCCTCAAAATGAAAGTTCAGGACTATTGGCAGGATTTCCAAGCTGCAGGTTGTAATGTCACACAACAAAGAGGAACGCTGAGTTTGTTTGTTTTTTAAGAAGAACATTCTGCTTGCATTTTAGGAGGAAACATCTGGCATATTCAACTAACTTACAGTAAGTGAACCTCCAGCTCTCAAGGGACAACCTTTTCATATATGTATTTTTCATCTATCACTTCTTTTTACAAAAGTCTATTATGTAATCATACCTGCCTTGTGAGGTTAGTGATGAAGATGGCTCTCCACCACAAGGCAAGGGCTAATCGCCTGGATACTGTATCGAGTTGCAACTTTCATTCACTGAACAGATAGCGAGCTTTCTGCAAGATGACTCAGATGGTAATTGCATCTTGAGGGAAATGACATAAAGTTTCCACGGAACATCCTGGATAACTTCAGCAATAGAAACTTCAAAATGTTGTATTCAGAAATGAGATGGCAGCACCTTGGTGTCACACTTTTCATTTGGAACGCCTCAGTGTAGATGCAGCAAGCAGTGCATCGCTTACGTTGATCTATCTCAGCTCACCCGTAAGCTTACTGGTTCACATTTTACTTACATACTGTAGCAGACACATTGCTCCAAAGCGACATGTGCTTTTTGCAGAAATCAAGGTCAGACAGTCCCTGGAACAACTGGAGGTTAAGAGTCATACTCAAGGCCTCAACAGTGAAATTACTCTGTTGGTGATAAGATTTAAACCTGCGACCTTCAGATCACAGCAACACCATCCCCAGGTCAATTATTACATCCACATGTAATTGAAACACATTAATTATTCTCTGATTAAATTTTGATAGAATGGTTACTCTCCTAGGTACTACTTGACATTAGTAAATTTTATTAAGCAAATTATGGCTACATTTACCATTTAACTATTAAATATCTCATGCCAATTAATTAGATTGACCATTTAAGACCCATACATTTACTAATTACTCAATTTTCCCCAAAATATCTTTTCATGAGCCTGATGGAGTGATTTCCTTGACTGCTTTTTGGAGCAGAAAAGTTTGCGTGCACTCCGATAGATAGCTGGTGTTTAAAGTAACTTAGTGGCAGCTGGGCGCGTAGTCACGGCCCCTAGATCCGGGACTTAGAACAGCTGCGAGAAGCTGATTGGCCTAAAGAGGATGTCCATCACACAGAAGGCGTGCATGCAACAAAGAGGGGCACCGGAACACAGCTGCATGACTTTTCAGAGACAGAAACCGCATGACCATTACCTCACACCTTCCAATCCACCCCCAACCTTATGGGCATATATGGGAAGCCAGCGTGTGACTCACAGTGTAACCTAACCAGCTCTGTCAGAGGGATGTAACAATATGAAACTGGGGTAAGCAGAGGAAATGTCAGGTCCCTGGTTTTCGTATTTGTTTACAGGGACTTTTTTAGCAAAAGAGTAAGTCGAATGTATGGCTTATACCTTTTTGTAACCTTTGTAAAGGTGCATGGTCACCAGTTTTCACATCCCCTGCAACAGACTTCCATATCTCACTTTCAGGCACTGCAGAGCAGCTGTCAGTAACTGTTGGGACACGAGTACAGCTCCCTCTGAAGGGCTCGCACATCTCACTGCAGAGGGCCATGCAAAGGCAGTGATTTTCCAAAAAAAAAAAAAAACTCGTGTAAAAAATAAGAATTTGCAAGACTATTATTTGTAGCCAGTGATATCTTGTAACAGAAATAAGCAACTATCGTTGTCAAAGTCAAAGTATGTGTTATTGTCAGCAGATATATGAGGCACGGAGTGATACTGTGCTGAAATGGTCATAGTGCAGATTAAAAGTAGAAAATGAATAAAGAAATAAGGTAAATAATGAAACAAATAAATAGAATATAAATGGCAACACATATGAACATGATATAGACATGACGATAAGACAGAGAGACGCAGGTAACCATCTGACCGGTGGGGAAAGACTGTGTAAATTGACAAGTGTTCTAAACAATTAACAAGTCAGCTAAGTCCATTATTGTGTCAGTGTGGTGTTACTCCCAGGACAATGAGAGAATTAAATGAACTAACCTGATTTATTGCTAGTTACACTGACAATAGATCCCTGATGGAATTTTTGAATAACACATATGTTACACACGGCTCCTCTATATTGTTCTGATATGCAAACACACATATCCACACACCTGACCTGTTAGTTTCTTGTGTAATTAATTGAACGGTATGTTAATAAAAGCAAAGTGAGATGTTACTGTGCAGTTACTTTCATTAAGAGTCATTTGCCGTAACGCTGCCCATAATACCTGAGAGTATTAGATGAGTTGCTATACTGAAATAAATTTTGCCCAGCGGAAAAGAAAATGAGCACGAAAGTGGTCAAGAGTTCTTTCACATTTACACCAGCCCCTCCCCACCCCATACTTCCCCCTCCCTCATGATTATTATTGACTTTTACCTCCAGGCGACCTTGAGAAAAAGTGGATTCAGGACCTGCAAATACACGACTCCATCACCTCGACCTTCCTCCACAACAGCTCGGTCACCCTGAACACCGGAGGGCTCTACTATTTTTACGCCGTAACCACATTCCGTCCGTGCGATAAGAAGAAGACAGTGGTGCTGGTGAGGAATAAGATCCCAGGGCGTAAGGAAAAGCTGACGCTGAGCGAAGTGCGCATGACTTTGAGCGAAGGCAGCATGTCTTTGAGTAAGCTAATTAGCTGCGAGAAAGGAGACAGTCTGACGCTAGAGGTGATTCCCGTAGAATGTCTACGATGGAGCCCTGAAAAGACATACTGGGGTCTGTTCCTGCTGTCTTAATATTTCTAGAGACGGGGGTATTAACTTATCATCGACATCTGGAAGGGGCTCTCACTCTGTGACGGTTGTTTTCTCAAAACGCTGGCGTATTTTAAACAGTTCCGTTGAAACTTAAGACAAAAGCAGTGAAACCCCACAGTTTTGACTAACTCCACACCATTCTTAGAAAAAAGGAGTCGTGGGGTTATTTTTATAATTACCTGTTTTAAACTTATGTGAAATGAAAACCCACAGTCATGTGTGTTGTTGGAAAGTATGCGGACTGCATATAACATGGGTTGAGTTCAGTATTATCATTTAAGTGGTATCATTTAAAAGTATTTTGAATGTAATACATAAGTAGGCTTTTTAAATGTTTATGATTGTGATGTTCTCATTTTTATATTTGCTATATAATTTGAATGCCATTTATTTAATTTGCAGTGACTGTAAATAAAACCCATTCACTCATACCTGTACAGCATTCATGACCGGTTATCCAGTCCATGGAATATGATGAATCCTATCTTATGAATAAGCACAGCGTTCCAGGAAGGGGACACTCCTGATTGGACGCCTGTCTATTGCACGGCATAGATATCTAAAGACAAAATCGAGCACCAAAGGCGATATAGACCCACCAGTGGGCCATGTTTATGGAGAGCATACGGAAACCAGTGTAATCCTAAGTAAACAGTGGATGAATATGGAACCTGCCCACACATGGAGTTAAGAGCAGGACTGGAGTTAAAAATCCACCCTGGACTATGAGGTCACCCACGGTGGGGGCCAGGAGGGGAGGGGGGGGGGGCACGATGAATTTTACTGAGGGGAGGAGGACCCCCAAGATAACGTGCAGAGTGATAAACTTTGTTTCCTGAGTGTTGCATGCTTGTACTGCCTTTGCCCTCGATATTAATTTATTCTATAGATTTAATTTTACACTGTCAAACTTTTTAAAAAGTTCATACACGTGATGCTATGAAACATCCACCTATACAAAATGTTCCCCCCTCAATTTCTTCCCACACATATATAAATTGTCTTATTAAAGGTGACCAAATTTTTAAAGATGTTTTATTAAAAGTTGCAATTTCTGAGAAGGACAAATAAGCACTAGCACTCACACACCACTAGCTGAATTGAGATCAGTGAGATAAAGAATAAAACCTGCAGAGTTTGGTGAGGTGTCGAAAAAGGTTTGTGTGCAGGGAGTGGGGTGGAGATGAAACTGTGATGGGGGGTGACAAACCATGAGATTTACATCTACCACCATTAGATGGCAACAAGGGCTAAAAAAGCACAAGTCTCACCGGGGAAATGTACGCCTTCACACCTATCACTATGGACTATTGGCATGTCCAACATCATCACCAGTTGCCATTTTCACACCTATGCCACACTATGACTAATTCACGGTTTATTTCACTAAGGGAAACGCTAAGACATAAATCAGAACTGAACGCTGTTTGTTTAAAAATCCCATGCAACTCACAAACAGAACAACAACCTTCACAAAAGAGGAAGTCGCACCCACATACAAGGACTGCAAATTTCCCTGAGTGCAGCTCTACAGGCCCCCTTGTCTGCTCAGATTCTCCTCTGACACCTTCCCTAATCTTCCGCATTCAACCTGAAACAGAATGTAACCCTCGTAACTCAATGCCAAACCCAGAAAGCATCTGACCTTTGACCCCAGATAAATTATTTTACAGCCTCTGAAATGCCCGTCGAGACAGCACGTAAGATAAGGATTCACCGATCTTCATGTTATAGTTTCAACACCTCAGCATCCTGAATTTCACTTCCTTCATACGAACAGTAAAGTTGGCTTCTTGCCATTTTTCAGTGTCCATATATAACAATAGAAACAAATTACCCTTAGAAATTAAAGGAAATTTACTGAGAAAAGCCTACTTGAAAGCAACCTTATTTAAAAATCCAAATCTAGTATCCAAATGTCGCGTTTATTTCAACTGAATATTTCAATTATAGGATAGCTAAAGATAACAATTACAAAATGAATTATCATGTTCATTCATAGGCAAACCTGCAATAACCTGGACTCTCAGTGGCTAGTTTTAAATCTCAAGAGACCAATTAACAGTGAGAAGACATCCAGAAAATCAAACATATAGAAAATGACATATAGAAACACAAAAATAAGGACGAGGATTTTCTGGGAGCAGAAAGAAGTAGATGGTTCAACCATGTAGGAAAATCATGGCACAATGTCCAGCCGATAACATCTGGAATCCTTCCAAATGTGACACAGATTTATAAAAGTATTCAAACCTAAGAACGGATCGCGGTAACAAAATTTAAAAAGGATCTACGCGAAAAGGGGGCAGAAGGAAAGTAACTGGAACAAGTGAGAGGCTGAGCTGTGGGAAAGAGCCCATGGAGTGCAAGGAAAAGGTCCTTCACTGCACGAATTCCCCTTTTCATGATAAGGAAAGAGGAAGAAGAAGGGGGGCGGCGGTGGGTGGAACCGTGCTGCTGAACAGACGGAAAGCTAGTGGTACCAGCTGAAAGTGGGGCAGCACGGTGGCCCATCACCTCCCAGCTTTGGGTCTCACTTCCTGTCCCCGGCGCTGTGCACATGGAGTTTGCACGTTCTCGTGATCGTGGGCGTTTTCGTCTGGGTACTCTGGTTTCCTCTCACAACCTGAAAACACGGTCATATGAGTTGGTGTCCCTGATGCCCCGTCCAGGGTTTCCCCCAGTCTGTGCTCTCCGCAGCGCTGTTCCAGATCGGCATTTATGAATGTCAAAAGACTTTCACAGGTGTTATGGCATTATATAACGAGCTCTGTAATCTCCCTTTAAGTAAATTCATTAAAAAAGTGACTAAACGTAAAGTTAAAGAGCAACGTAATTTACAAAACGTAGAATAAATCAAAGATATTATCATGCTTCAGATTCCTAACATGCGGTTAGTTGTACTTATTTGGCTGCCCTGTTAGAGGAACAAGTTACAATGCATATGCATATGCTTTCAGTATTTCACATACTATGCAACAACCTGACTGGTTTCTCTATGCACAGGAGGGAGGGGCTTCCTGTAGCTAGGCCTCGAAATCCATCCAATCAGCTTGTCATTGCGGGTGTTGCGGGCCGTTCAGCGAAAAAGGAAACTTAAACCGTGGCTTTGGGAACAGTGAGGTCTTCACCGCTCGATGTGAGTCATTGTGTGAAAAAATTTACTTACTTAATAGTGACTTTCATTTCAGGTGGCCTACAGTAACGCTACGAATCAGAATGAACAAGGACCGCCAGGTCAGGCAAGGATCAGGTGATAGGAGAATAAAGATAATTGAGGAATTATAATTTAGTTCTGTCATCCACTGAATCAGCTGGTCAAATATACACTTCATATGTTGTACATTTATAATGTGCCACTTCCTAAAAGTGTATGATTTCCTGTGCAATTTGAAGCAGCATCATGGATTTTAGCCAATTCCTCTTAAATGCATGTATTTTTTAAACGTGGGGCACAGACTGACACCACATGTAACCATGGAAGCTAATAATGCTAATAGGGAACTGAAAGGAACACAGATATTCAAGCTCAACATATTGGAGCTATTTAACCACCCAAAGACCATTAACTCTGAAACATTAATTCCCCTTAACTCACAAAATAACAATAATGACACTTGTTGTTGTGATGTTATGTGTATTTCATACACAGAACGGAAGAACACTGAGAACCAAATACGCATCAAGGATGCTAATATCTGCTTCAGCATGAGAATATTGCATGTCTGGATGTGTATAATAAAGATGGTGTGGGGGATGTTTGCATGTTGCTCGTCTTATCATGGTCTGCCTGATGCAATTGCGGGGATTTACCTGTGCGTAGTGGAATTCGCCTTTGCTGAGTTCACCTGTCTCTCTCTTGACCTGTTTCCTTTGCACTCTGACCACTTCCTTTGTGTCTGTCTACCAGCCACTATGAATTCCTCTGGCTATGGGCTGCTTCCCCCAGCGTATGAACATGTCTGGGTATAATTAAGACATTTTTCTCTCTTTTTCATGCTCCCTGTCCCAGCTTTTTTTTTTATAGATGTTCAGGCTTGATTAAATTATTCCGGGATCGTAAGTTCATTAAATTATAATTACAGTTGGGAATGTGAGAGAGCATTTAGCGGATTCCCTGGCGGTCGCCTCAATCCAAACTTTGAATGGCTGCATAATGATCCCGGGATTCGCACGGCAAACCCAGTAGGACAAGAGGCTCCGTAGTGAGGCTTCAAAGATCACCACACCGCCCCCCAGTGCCCAAGATCATTACGCACCCATGGTATGAGCTTCCATTAGGGTTTCAGTGACTGACAAAACACAGCAGACACAGGAGATTCTTATTTACTTCATACACATTTCTTCAAATACTGGGTTAATGATCTCCATGGCGACAGGGGTAGAAATCTTGCTGTGATAGACACACACACTTTTCTAAGGAAAAACCTTCCATTAAAACTGCAGATTGGTGCAGGATGCTTCACCTTCTCACCTTCCTTATTTAACAGAAGTAATGTTTACATCAGAAAACTACATGAAACTCTTCACTTTCTGCGTCCCCCTGGCCGCAAAGATGAAACAAACCGCAGCAGTCAGTAAGGCTGCATCCCAGGCCCTGAGCTCCTGCTGTGACTTGTTGTGACAAAGGAGAAGTTGCTGTGGCAGATGGGGCCGGTGACAGAGAGGGTAACGACTCGCCTTGTGTTGGGGCCACATCCGTTTCTTTGTGGACCCTAACTCTGGGCTAATTCCTGGATGCGAGTGAGGCGTGGCTTCCGCGGCTGGGGGGGTGGGGGATGGGTTTTGGCACTTGGTTTACTGAGGACGCAGCTCTTTGTGAAGTCAAAGTTTCACCCTTGGCCACCTCAACATGTCTTCCAGGTTACCTGCCGAAATCAGTCAAAGGGGAATGGTCTAAAGGCAGAGCTACTTAAATGGCAGACTTTCTGGATAGTCTGATTGCCAACCTGAACAGACGTCTTGAGGCTGAGTTAGCCCACCGTCTCCCCACTGCTCCATGGAGATATTCGGCTAAGCTCTAGTCACTGGTTCAGGGTCACGCCACGTGCTAGGTCACTAGGATCGCTACGCAATTCTTCTTCAAACCGCACTGTTTTGAAGAAAAGGTCACGATGCACTGTGGATCATCCTTATCTCATGTTTTTTTTTTTTTTTTTCTTTTTAGACGTTGATGCCGTGTCATTAGAGCTCACCACAGCATCCACATCTAAAAACCCTTTCAGTCTGATTCACACAAGCCACTTCACAGGGAGTCAGTGAGGAGGCAGGAGTGGGAGGGGAGGAGAGAGGTATCTCGCTGCGAGGGAGGAGGCTGGTGTGTACGAGGTGAGGACACGCAGCAGAGAGAGAGAAACAGAGAGAAAGGAGGTAGGTAACGAAACAAACACCGGTGGAAGTTCCTCCATAACTGGTTTTGTTATTTGAACCTCTTTCACTTATAAGAAAGTACATGAGTGTTGTATGAAAGTCCATTTGAATATCAAAGCACATTTTCTAGAGGAAAAGTAATTATACCACACATAGGTTTTCACACAAGGACCAGGTATAACACTTTCAAAAGACATTTTCTCCTGCAACTTGCCCCTTTTCGGAGAATACCCTGCTTTGGTGTTAGGCATTTTAAGTTGCTCTTATGGGTTATTTATTAAGTTGCTCCATTTTGAGATTGCAGGGCAAGACAAATGAAAAATTCCTCCTTGGGAAGAAAGATCCGTCCATCAGGGAATGACCTTTGCCACACACATTCACACCTAGGACAATGTGGCAATTCCAGTCCATCCTAGCACATTTTTGGACTGTGGGGGAGGACTGGAAAACCCAGGGGAATCCCCTCAGGCATAAAATGCAAACTCCACAGATGCAGAGCCACGGCAGAAACTCGATCCCTGGTCTCCCGAAGTGTAAGGTAACTGTGCCGTGTTACCCGAACCAAGGAATGCACTCAAGTTTGCATGTATACAGCTTTGTCAATATACAGAAACATATAATAATCTCATTTATAGGTTCATGAAGTCTACTGAACTGATCGATTGTCCCACTAAGGCAGGGGAAACAGCACTAAGGGCAGTTTAAGGCAAACAGGCAGGTTATCAGTGTCACTGGTTGGTTCTGTCTCTGCTGAGTAATGAATATGAGGGATGCCCAGCATCAGTAACGGGGCATTCCTGTTTGCCTCATTACATTCCCCATATCTATGTGTATTAGGTAAATTTAGCCTGAGTATATGAGTAAACTACTCATCCATCCATTTTCCCTACCTGCTTGTCCTATATGCAGGGTCGCGGGGGTCTGGAAAAACCCAGGATGGGACACCTACTCATCTCGAGTCACTCACGCTATTCACACCTCCAGGAAATTCGGCTACTGCAGTTTATATTAGCATGTTTTTGGACTGCGGGGGGAGACCCCCACACCAGCCTGGGGAGAACATGTAAAATGCACAGACGCATAGAACCGGAGAACCGTGGTCACAAGGAGGATGAGGCGATTGTGCAAACCAAAGTGTCATCATGTTTATCTAAGTTTCTCCTGTGGGTTGCTTGTTAAGTTGCTCAATCTTGTATGTTTCACTCACAAAGAAGAGCAGGACAAGACCCAGCAAGCGCTCAAATGTAAAATCCACGTCATGTTTTTTCTTCCTCAGAAAAAAAAAACAAGGTACTCGATTTTGCAAGCATGCAAACTTGTGAAAATATGGAAACCTAAACTATTAGAGTCCCCACAAAGTGCTGGTGACACCATGACAGATTGGTTTGTGGGAGGTCAGTTTAAGGCAAACAGGCAGGTTTTCAGTTGGTGTTGGTGGTTGGTGTTGGTGGTTGGTGTTGGTGTTGCTTCTGCTCAGAAATGCATATGGGAGCAGCGATTTATATCAGAACTTTCTTGGCCCAGTTCAACTTCATCACACATTATATTACCTGTATCTATTGTATATTTGCATGCGTATTTGGTAAATTTAGTCCGAAAAATACTGAAGGTTATATGTTAAGTCCCTGATTTAGGTGTGGGAGCTCATTAGAACTACTTTGTTTATTTATATTCACCCACTTTCCAAGCACTTAAGTCCCTGGACAGAAAAATGGAGTGAGAGTACGGATATAGTACAGAGTAATGGAAGTGTAGGTTGGTGCTCCTCTCTGCGTGACGTTCTGAGCTTGGGTCACACTCACGCTGAGGAAGGAAGCCAGTGCAATGTGTCAAATGGAGAGTGAGAGAAAGACAGAGAGAGAGAGCGAGAGCGTCCTGACTGAAAGCTACCATGACGCATCCGTTTGAGAGGATGCAGATAGTACAGTGATCACAATCCATGATTTAAACCAGGACAGTTTAGGACACATTTGTTTCATATGCAAATATACTGCTTTCTAGTAGCTGTTTTGTAATAATATTTAAGTCAGTTGTCTGTAGCCTGGAAATTTCTTACTATACATACATTTTGTCCAACAAATGTTTATATTTCTTCCTTCATGGTTACAGACAAAAGGTGACAAAATAAGTACGGGACACAGGCTGCTCAAACAAATTTAATTTCTTCATTTTTTTCATGTGTAACTTTTCAATTAAAATACACTACCAGTCAAAAGGTTCTGCACAGTAGAGAAAATTCGAGACATTCTTTTCTGCTCTGTTTCATGTGATGAAACAGGTAACTAGTGCATTTAAAGTTAATGGACAGCCTAGAATTTGACTATGTCATCACCACATAACCAGTTAATAGGATGTGAGACATCCTTGTTTTAATTCACATACTTTTTTCATGTTATAAAGGAAACTTACATTTTCATTTACTTACATTTTCATTTATAGCTGTTCACTCAACCTTCTAATGTTTAACAAGTATACAAAATCTGCAGTTCATGAAATAAATGGAAAAGTGATAAAAACCTGATGCGAATACTTTAACCAAGGTCTGTTTTATATTTTTTCCTATGAAATGTACATATACATATGTTTTTCAAAGCAACACAAATATCAAATCTGATCCGCCTATGTTCAGTAATTCATGCATCCATAACGGAAATGCAGTGTATTTTAACAAGAATGTGCCGTGTCTATATTTTATATTTTTCATGCAGATAATTATGCATTGTGTATTGATGTAAAAGACAATGAACAGATAATATAGATCGAAAAGAAAAACAGGGATAAGGAAAACAAAAGGATGATGAGAGAGGGTAAAGTCATATGTGGAGTAAGAGTGTTTGTTTGGGCTTTCAACACGGGAAACCCTGTGCGAAAAACCTCTAAAAATAGAAACTGCAAAACGAAAAGAAAAACAGGAGGAAACAAAAAGGGGAAGACAAAAGGGAAAGCAGGGAAGGAGAAGTAAGAGACACGTGGAAGATTGGTGGTTTTTCCACTATGGAGGCCAACCGAAAGCAAAAGAGGGAGGGGCCAGCGCCCGAAGACGGCAGAGCCAGGGAAACAATGCACGCATGCTTTGTTAGTATGCAAGTGCGTGTGTGTGTGTTATGGCCGGATGTGTGTGTGCGCGTGTGTCGGTGTCAGTGCCAGAGGAGGAGTCACTTCGAAATACAGAATTTCACGGATTCTTCCTCTACTCAACAGCCCCTCCCTCCTCAAGCAGACAACTTAAGCCATTTCTATTACCACTACGAGCATGACATCACTGGAGTTTCCGTCGGGCTACACAGATATAAAACTGCATCTGAGAATGAGTGCAGACACAAACTCCTTTATTTATCTGGTACTGACAAACCACTAACAAGTGACAGTACAGCTCCGTGAAACATCTCTACTGCATTTATTTGCTTTTCCTTCGGACTCTGGGTCGGCTACCATGACGGTTTACGGCAAGACTACGGAAGACATCGAGAGCGGGCAGGTGATGGCTGCGGGGCACAAGTCATCTGGAAGCTGGTTTTGGAAGCTGTGCAGTGTGCTGTCGCTCATGGCTGTTTGCGCCGTCCTCGCTCTGCTTTTCACCTGGCACATTCAGGTAAGACCATACATGCCGCAAGCCAGCTGTAGTACAAACAATGATGGGTGATCACATGAGCGAGAAAGTAAACAGCAAATTAACTAGAGTTTCAATGGCTTTCTTAGGAGGTAACATTGTACAGTTTGTCTTTGATTCACTCAGTAGCCGTGAGTGTATCCTGTGTCAGATACACACACCCTACTCTATTTAATTGTACTACATTGTTATAAAAGTCCTGTGTGTTTCAACAGAAGCAAGAACAAACACTGACAGAAAGACCAGCAAACGCTCTCACTGGACAGCGTGAAGTACATGGTGAGTTCACAGCCCCTAAATGAAATATTCGTATCTGGACTCTGAAACTTCTTCTCTTCGACTGTTACTAGTTAGTGTCACATGAGACTTATAGTTTGCGATCCTCTCTTCCTCAACAGAGCAGCAGAGAACCCTCAAGCAGATAGCTGACAAAGTTAAGGCAGGAATACACGTTGAAGGTAAGTTACCTGCATGCACTTTGCAACTAAGCCTGTCTGATCACTGCCCTATACTCTACTAAGCAAGGCGATAGCTGTCGCATTTCCAATAATAGGACAACAGCTTGAAACAGAAAGCCACAGAGAGGCCTCACCTCAGACATGACTAGTCTAGACTAGATGCAGTTTTGAGGTGGTTTTACGAAAGGACGAGGCTTGTGTTTGCGTGCAGGTGGCTAATATTTACACTTTCCTTCAGGCTCGGTGAAGCAAGATCACTTCAAATCGTCAGTGGAATGGAGCGTCATAGATGGCCATTCCTTCGTTCAGGGGGGGCTTACTCTACAAAAGAACAAGATCATCATCCCATACACGGGGCTGTTCTTCGTGTACAGCCAGGCCTCATTCCGTGTGTCCTGCAGCACCACCGAAGGCAGCCAGCAGCCGTGGATCATGGCGCTCAGTCACACGGTGATGCGTTACTCAGCGTCTTACGGCGGCGAGAAGCCGCTGCTCAGTACTGTCAAGTCACCCTGCGTTGGCGCCTCTAATGATTTCGACACAAGCGGGAAAGTCTTCAGCAGCATCTATCTGGGCGCTGTCTTCAAACTGCGGCGCGGTGATGAGCTGTGGACGGACACCAATCGGCTGCAGGACATCGACACCGACGAGGGGAAGACCTTCTTCGGTGTCTTCGCCCTGTGACAACGGAAAGCGAGAATTTTGTGGGCAAGGACATGTGCAGATAAGGAGAGGATGACTAATTTGTTAAGGAAGGTCTAGCTGTAATGAACTAAACACAAAAATAATTAACGAGATCCTGAGAACAAAATGAGAAACAAATACAGAAATCACAGTGAAGAAATATGGGCATGGGGAACAGTTCTACTGAGTAGCTTATCAATACATGCCTGACCATCTGATTGTGCTTGAAGTAATAGTCAATATTTGACTGCGGTATATCACACTTGTTTTATGATAAAACATAAGAAACCTAAAGTCCTATAAGAACTATATGTGTCTGAACAGTATTTGTAAACTGAATCAGTTTTGCAGCCTCATCCACTGTGTGCTGTTCATTCACAGCATCGAAGTAACGCCAAGCTCTATGTTCTGCTGTTAAACATGATCCGGTACATGCTACCAGTGAACCGCTTTACTGTAATTTACTCTCATTTATTGCAGTTTACATGGTACACAGGGGGCAATGAAACAACTTATTGTTGTGAAAAGTAAGCTCTTTTTTAAGATAGTTTAATAGTTTTAAAATATTTATTTTTATTTATTTCCTGTCCAACTTTATTTATATTTGTATCACTAGGGTTTATTTAATTACAGATGAATGTATTTGTACTGTGTTGATTGTATTTAATGCTATTTATTCACTAATATTTTGAAATGGTATTGTTCTTTTACTACTGATAGATGACTATTAAAATGTTGCTGAATTTCAATGCAGTTGTGAAAGAGACTGAAGGTGGGACCATGTGACAGTGGTATGGGCTGGGAATGGGATATTTATTTGGGGAAGTGTTCTTTTTTAGGGAAGCAGGTTTGAGAAGGAATGGGGATGCAAAATGAAACTTTAAATAAATCTTTGGTTGGGGGAGATTAGACACGTTTATATATATATAAAAAAACAGGAACACGAGAAAGTGATTTAATTGATTCAATTCATTTAAAATTGATTTAATGTTTATCTGGGACATCTATCCATTAAAATCACTTATCAAATATAGTGTCATGGAAGACAGAAGGTGTGGGACACCCTGGATGTGATGCAAATCCATCACAGGACAGTCAGGCCGACATAAAACGGAACATGGGGAATATATAAGCCAGACGTGACGTAGTAAGCATATTTAACAGCCTGTGCGGAACAGTAGTGAAAAGTAAAAAAAAAAAAAAAAAAAAAAGTTGTGAAGCTTTCTCTCTAACAGATATCGCATCATGCACTTCATGGAAAAAAAAACTTGGGTCTTTTACTTCTGAGGGGGCTACCAGGTAAGCTCTGTTCTGTACGAAAATAGCTATCGCTGTTTCACATGCACTGGCTAAAATGGGAAATCCCCCGGCCTTTCTTCTTTCCTGAAGTGTGTGTGTCGAAGCCGCAAAAAGTAAGTAAATAAGTAAGTAAATAAATAAATAAGGTGTGGGGGATTCTTATCTGCCACCTCCCCCGCCCCCTCCCCCGACGTTTGTGGTCGTATCAGAGGAGGGGCGCTTTGCGGATCTCAAATTACCATGCTGATAAAATATTTACCAAACATGTACATCACAAACGCCTCTACTGATCTGATAACCGTTTGCTTATGGTTGCCTTCCGCTATTGCTTATCAAACTTCATTCGACTTACTATCAGATTTCAGTATTCTAACAGCTCCTTGGTTAAAAATTTCAGCCACAATGTTTTTTTCTTAAATATAAAAAAAATCAATAGATTTTAATTAGGTTTAAAAATAAATAAATGAGTAAATAAATAAAAGGCGACTCTAAATGCTGATAGGAAGGAAACCCATAAACAGACAAACCATCCATAATGAGAAGAGCACATTTTACGTGATGGAAACCATAGTGCGACGTTTCGTAAAATTAAAGTCCGGCCACGCCGATATTTAGCGGCGCAAACACGTGCGCTGCTCTCGTGGAGACATCTAGTGGCAGCCGACGCCAATTCATTATTAGTGCGCGATGCCATTTGACGAAGTAAAAAGACAAATTAAGGAACTACCGGAACTTTCCGTGATTGAATATATTTATTTTAACTTTGTAAGAATATATATGTGTGTGTCTGTGCAGCTGTATTTTCTGGTGTACACTCTTTCAGTAACTTCAACAACACAGGAATACAAAACTTGAAATAAACGCACTGGGAGCACTTTCTGAGTGAAAAACGATTTTCAGTTTATTGTCGTTGTAATTATAATGTATTGTATTATAATTACCAATCCATTTTCAGACCTCATATTCTCATACTGTACTTAGCAGACACCTCAATAAATAGAAATATGTGCTATTTTCTACAGCTTCCCCTGGCCACAGAGAAATACAATCATGAATAAGCAGGAGAATACATTGATATTAATTTTTATAATTATAATATTTATTATCAATAATAATTCTACTATAAGTACACATATTTATTTATACAAGTCTTACCATTAAATGGCTTTTCCTGACAGAAATTCATAAACACTAAATAAAGTTTAAAATGTTGATAATATTTACTATATTCCAGAGAAAATAAAATATACATTAATAGAAAATATTTTCATTGATAAAAACCAGGCACGTTAAGTACGAAAGTCGTAGTTAAAAATGTTACAAAACTCAATAAGAATGAAACACAGGGACCGCAGACAAAAAAAGAAGCAGGTGGTTCAATCTGGGCCTGTTGGTTCCTTCGGGTCTGGAACATGAAGCCCGGGCTGCTCTCGACAGTCAGTGTCGGTTGGTATTCCGGATGTGACAATCAGCTTGACAATGGGCCATGTGCCATTGTTTATGTGTGAAAGGGACAAAACAACAAACATGACAACACGGGGAAGGCGACAATAAACAGGTCCTCATCTTTCTTGGTTTCTGCACCATGAGCTTTAATAAATGTACTTTAAAAGTGAAACAGTGGTTCATGCAGTGGTCTCCAGTAGTGGGTGGTGCGATGCGTTTTTAAATAATCATTTGAAAATAAATGTATCAGAAGGCCCCAGTGCTCCAAAACAGAGGCAAGAAGCCAAATTCAGTGTCTTCGTAGGTGTTCTGATTGGATCTGTATGGCTTGAATATGTGTATGCATGTGGCGACATTTCAGCCTTCACTTTCAGAAAATTCTGGTAACATTTCAGGCAAACCAATCCTTAGGTGTCTTTTCAGATACTACTTTATATTACCGCTCCTCTATATGAATTACAGCTTATGTCATGCACCAGTCATAAATATTAACGAAGGTATTATAATAACAGGTGGTCACATATAAAAATCGATGTGTCTTCAGTAACATCCCAGTTAATGCTTTAATAAATAGAGAGGGAGACAGAGTAAGAGAGTGAAAGGAGTAGAGGCTCTGTATTCTTTTCCTTCTTAACTATTGCTTCTATCTGTCAGGTAACCATCTACATGAGGCCTTATCAGGTTGATGCTCCTCCTCCTCCTCCTCCTCCTCCTCCACCCAGAGTTCTCCTTCTCTCCCCCCCCCACTCACTTGTAGAGCAGCTGCAGTCGGCTGTTGTGACAATGGTTACGGCTGATCTTGCTGTCAGCCTGGTAGAGGATGGACGAGTTTGGGTACGAGGCAGGGAGAGAGTGGTTGTCGGAGGAGGGGAGGGGGTAACCGGGAGGAGGTAGCAGGGGCTTGGGGTCATTCTGGGAGGAGGCAGGCGGTGGCGTGCTGTGGTTCTGGTTCGGCGTGGACTGGGGTCTCCGGGAGCGCAGTGCTTGTCTTTCTGCCAGCTGGTTCCGCAGCTCTGACACCCTGACCTCCTTCTGTGAGTGCAGGATGGAATTGCACAGCTTACGGTCCTCAATGCTCTCACCGACAAGGAGGTGCAGGTGTGACATCACAATATGCCTCATATACGTTCCAAAAGTAAGAAGCATAATTATATGGAGCACAGTCGGACGAGGTGTGAGCGAGACGGAGTTGGGAAAAGGATCTGAAAGGGGGAAGGCGGGACGAAAGTCGGTACCTCCTGGATGATCTTCTGCAGCTCCCTGTTCTCTCGCTCCAGCTGCCGCGATTTCTCCTCGTCGTTGTTGTTTGTGGATGAGCCCGTCTTCATAGTGTCCTGCTGCTCAGACTGCCACTCTCCTCGAGTTATTAAACGGCGCATCTGATGTACACACATAGGCAAAGCACAGGCCAAATCAGATCATCACATCTACAACTCAATACAGGCTAATACCAGTATGCAGTTAACCACCAGTATGCAGATAACCACCCAGTAATGGAGAAAGTAGTACTGTATTGTACATTTAATACATCTTTAGAATTAGGTGATCAGTGGTTATTGTTGACACACCACAGCACACAACAATGAAATATGTCCTCTGCATTTAACCCATATGTGACGTCGTGACATAGCAGGGGGAGCTAATTCAGCGCCTGAGGAGCAGTGCTTGGGGGCGGTACCTTGCTCAGGGTACCTCAGTGGTGCCTTGCTGGTCGGGGATTCGAACCTGCAGTCTTTCAATTACAAGTACGCTTCCCTAACCACAAAGACGCCACCGCCCAGCTGAGCATTTACCTGCTCAGTGTAAGAAAAATACTAACAAATACCTTACCATTCTTATCCTCTCCTACATGCTCAACATAATAATAACCAATAGCTTACTTGGGCCAACAACATACCTACTGGGCTACCACTGTACACTCTGAGTAAGATAAGAAACTTAAGCAGACATCCGGCAAACCTTGGGGATGAAGAGTACAACTAAAGTGATGTAGACGGAGAAGACGATGGCCAGCGATGCAAAGGCGAACGATGCGTCCTGCTGAGAGGAGAGGATCATCGTGACTGGAGCGGTAATCATGCATAATACCTGGAACAGAGAAGGGAGAGAAACCACAGAGTCAGGCACGGCCATTTCTCACTAATCAACACTGTCAGCGGCAGATCTGAATAATATACAACAGTGTTAGCTGCCATCTTACTCATAAACCGACGCACTCACTAACCCTGAGGAGACTGGATGAAAACAGGCAGGAATGTTATCATGCTAATGCTAAACACGGTGTTACAATAAATCTGTTTACACAATAGAATATTAGTGGATTTCCAGCAGCACAATGATCAAGGAAGCACATCTGAGACTGAGGCCTTTCAGTTCTGATAGAACCTGCATCAATGACTACATGTTTGAGATCCTATAGTATCTCCTAGCATTCCACGATCTGAATAATTTGACACTGATTAATTTGAAGCTAACTTTACCCCTGATTTTCCTAATAGCATTTGCCATAAAAGGTTCATTTGAAAGGTAGCTAAAGACTCAAAAGATCTTTATTGTCAGCCCATCAGTACACACATATACATCCAGGATGAAATATCATCTCCCTGAGCCCCCTGGTGCAATCTTCACACGTCGACTAAAGAATATACTATAACATATCAACATTTACAAAGCAGCTAAACAATATATTTCCAGTACTACATTTACAATATGGCTAAACAATATATTTCCAGTACTACATTTACAAAGTGACTACCCGCTATGATACCTACTGTATCGCTTAAAGTGTGAAAGGGACACAAAGATATGAAACAGCAGTGCGAGAACTTGTTGTACTAGAGCTTAACGTGATACTGAAAGGGCAACCAGAAAAACAGGGACTCACAGCCACATTGTAGATGGCCATTCCCACAGCCCTGTGATCGTTTATCTTCTCAGTTGAGATGGACTTGGTCTCATAGGCCAGAAAGATCCCCAGCAACAGCAACAAGCCTTTATAGCCGTA